ATGTAAAATGTAAGAACAACGTCCATTGCACTCTTAATAGTTTATTATGCTGCTTTGAGATGGAACAGTGTAGTGGTGTCGCCTGTCAATTGCAGTGGTGGAAAAAGTATCCAATTGTCATACTTGAGTAAAGGTCGAAATACCTTAATAGAGAATACTCAAGTAAAAAGTAAAGACCCAGTAAAAGACTACTTGAGTAATTTTTTTAGTATTTCAATTTTAAAATACTTAAGTATCAAAAGTAAATATTAAATTCCTTATATTAAGCAAACCAGACGGCACCACTTTTTTCATTTTTTATTATGGATAGCCAGGGGCATGTGTGTTTAGTGAGTCCGCCAGATCAGCGGCAGTAGGGATGACCATGGATGTTCTCTTGATAAGTGTGTGAATTGGACAATTTTCCTGTCCTGCTAAGGATTCAAAATATAACGAGTACTTTTTTATTCCATATTCACAAACGTTTCAAATTAAATTAACAGCTCTCTGTTACTATCTATGGAAGCATATAGTAGCTGTCGGAATTCAATTTGAATTGGATAATGATAACTCAATATCACCACCGACTAGTAAGTTGCTCTGGTTAGGAGTGTCTGCTAAATGACAAATGTCAATGTAATTTACATTTCAAATTGAATTTCGACACTATTAGATGCATGCGCATATACTGAAATACATTCATTACGCCCTAATCTATGGATGACTGGGTATACATATATGCATCTGTTAGTCACAGATACCTTTTTTTTTTAAGTAGGGGCGTGGATCAGAAAACCAATCAGTGTCTGTTGTGACCACCATTTGCCTCATGCAGCGCAACACATCTCCTTCACATAGAGTTGATCAGGCTGTTCAATGGCTGTGCGAAGTTGCTGGATATTGTCGGGAACTGGAACACGCTGTTGTACAAGTCAATCCAGAGCATCCAAAACATGCTCAATGGGTGACATGTCTGGTGAGTATGCAGGCCATGGAAAAACTGGGACATTTTCAGCTTCCAAGAATTGTGTACAGATCCATAAGACATGAGGCCATGCATTATCAGGCGGAAATATGAGGTGATGGCGGCGGATGAATGGCACGACAATGGGCCTAAGGATCTCGTCACAGTATCTCTGTGCATTCAAATTCCCATCGATAAAATGCAATTGTGTTCGTTGTCCGTAGCTTATGCCTGCCCATACCATAACCCTACCGCCACCTTGGGGCACTCTGTTCACAACATTGACATCAGCAAACCGCTCGCCCACACGATGCCATACATGCTACGCTGTCTGCCATCTGCCCGGTACAGTTGAAACCGGGATGCATCCGTGAAGAGCACACTTCTCCAGCGTACCAGTGGCCATCGAAGGTGAGCATTTGCCCACTGCAGTCGGTCACGACGCCGAACTGCAGTCAGGTCGAGACCCTGGACGACGAGCATGTAGATGAGCTTCCCTGAGACGGTCCGGGTGGCTGGTCTCAGACGATCCTGCAGGTAAAGAAGCCGGATGTGGAGGTCCTGGGCTGGTGGGGTTACACGTGGTCTGCGGTTGTGAGGAGGTTGGATGTACTGCCAAATTCTCTAAAATGACGTTGGAGGCGGCTTATGGTAGAGAAATTAACATTCAAAGCTCTGGCAACAACTCTGGTGGACATCCCTGCAGTCAGCATGCCAACTGCACGCTCCCACAAAACATGAGACTTCTGTGGCATTGTGTTGTGTGACAAAACTGCACATTTTAGAATGGCCTTTTATTTTCCCAGCACAAGGTCATGCTGTTTAATCAGCTTATTGTCAGGTGGATGGATTTTCTTGGCAAAGGAGAAATGCTCACTGGGATCTTTTATTTCAGCTCATTAAACATGGGACCAACACTTTACATGTTGCCTATATATTTTGGTTCAGTATAGTTGTTCTGCTGTTTTCTGCAGTGGCGGTCATCACATGTGGGGTTGGCCTTCATGGCCATAGTGGGGAAGAAGTCCTGCATAGTGTTGTAGCCCAGGTAGTGGCTGCAGTAGCGGTTTGTGGGTAAAATCACCAAGGAAGCCAAACCAGGAAAGCCATGTCTCATCTTTCCATAGAGTGGTCATATTAGTTTCTAGGCCAGGTGTGGGCAAACCTTTTGGCTCAAGGGCCACATTGAGTTTTTGAAAACAAGTGATGGGCCACATACTACAGTATATGCGTGACAAAACATGTGAAGCCTTTATTCATTTTCACATTGACACGCAACTAATAGTGTACTGTAGGTGTACATATGCTTGCAGAACAATTCTACCTTTGTACCATGTCTACCCTTGTTTTTTGTGAACACATTTTTCACAAAATTGATATAATTTATAACATTAAAGACATAGTCAAACACACACACAGATCCTGCATCTCTACCCTTGTAAAGTACAATCAAACTTTCAGTCACAATATGCAAACTTAAAAATAGATATATAATTTATTATATGACTGGAGACATGCAAAATGTAACAAATAACTCTTCTACAATTTGAGTGAAACATATGGTAAGAGCATCCGTTTAATTTGGAATGGTCTGTTTTTGAAAGCATATTAAGGAATAATTATCATCTCCATTGTGAGCCATATTTACATTTATCCAATCACCTCAGCCCAAATCTGACTAATTAGTTATTACCTGTATCCAAGTGCATTGCTGGATAATTCTCACTGCATAACCATCACCATGAAAAAACATAATCCTTGCCTACCCCAGTCACGGTTATTCGAGTCTTAATGTGAACAATGGGTCTGGTCACCTCTCTTGGCAAGGGCATCAAAGTCTGGCGTCATCTTTGATGTAGAGATTCTCAGAACAGCTGACAAGTGGTCATTTGTTAAATTTGACCTGTGATGGAATTTGTTGTAATTCATTACATTTTAGTCATTTAGCAGACGCTCTAATCCAGAGCGACTTACAGTTAGTATTGTATATATATATATTTTTTTCATACTGGCCCCCCGTGGGAATCGAACCCACAATCCTGGCATTGCAAACGCCATGCTCTACCAACTGAGCTACATCCCTGCCGGCCATTCCCTCCCCTACCCTGGACCAATTGTGCGCCACCCAATGGGTCTCCTGGTCACGGCCGGCTATGACAGAGCCTGGATTTGAACCAGGATCTCTAGTGGCACAGCTAGCACTGCGATGCAGTGCCTTAGACCACTGCGCCACTCGGGAGACCTAATTCATGACTGAGAATGTTTGTTCACACACATGTGGACCCAAATAAAACAAGCACCCTTTGGGTGTGCTTTTTAATGTTCGGAAACTTTTTCATTCAGTGTGCCATAGAACTGGTCTATTGTTGCTGTTCTGTACTTCTCCTTCAAAGCACTGTCACATTGGATGTCAATGAGCTCCAATTGTGTGTCTGGTGGTGCTTTCCGACAGGGGGCATGCTACAAGCTCCAGTTCAGTCTCAATCTTGGTGAAGTCTGAGAAGCGGCGGGAAAACTCAGCATGCAGGTCGATCAAAGTGGTACTGTATGTCTCAGTGAGGCACTGCAATTGTGGGCGCGTTCAGTGCGGCCAGTGTCGGAAAATGAGTGAGAGACCGGCTGCTCATTTGTCTGGAGAACAATATGTCCACACCGAAAGCAAAGTCACCCAGCCAGTCTGTGTCTATCAACTCGGAGAAGTCGTCAGCTTTACCAACCGTATCAAGGAACATACCAATCTCCCTTCTCAGTTCCCACACACAGCGAAATACTTTTCCCAGGCTTAGCCAGCACACATTTGAATGGTACAACAAGTCCTAGTGCTCTACCTCTGTGTCATTGAGCAGCTGAATGAACTGACGATGGTTAAGCCCCCTTGCCCGTATAAAGTTGACAAGTTTTACAACCACTTTGACAACATTTCCCAGCTTTAACACACTTTTACATAGGGCTTCCTGATGAATAATACAGTGAAGAAATATAAATTCCTAAGAGTTAGGGCTTTCTTCTTTTACTTTGTCTTGTAATGTTTTTAGTAGGCAAATGTTTTTACCGGTTAGATTTGGTGATGCATCTGTTGTGACGTTTGTCCAGTTTGCTCCACAGTAGATTAATTTTTTCCAAGCAGGCAGACACCCTGTCATATAAGTCTGAGCCCCTGGTTGTTCCCATCATTGATTCCATCGCAAGAAGTTCCTCTTATTTAAAAGTTCTCATTTATTCCTCAAGATATTCAGAGTCCACTTTTTCGCAGCACTCATTCACGTCAAAAGTTGTCAAGCAATGAAGTGGCTATGATGACTGAGCACATTCTGAATCTGACTGTAGGCCCAAATACAGAGCGCTCTGCCAGGCTACAGCGCCATCTATTGGAGGTTGTTTATATATTATGGAATGAGTAATTTTAGGCCAAAAATCGTAACTCAAATATAATCATATTTAATACATTTAAAAAATGTATCGCGGCCGTACTTTGCCCCCTCTTGTTCTAGGCCAAACCGTTTGGATGCTACAGACGTTTTCGTGAGAAGACCAATTTCCTGGTCTGACTAACAGTGCTGTAGCTCTGCCACTGGATTGAGATGCAGCCCATACAAAAAAACGGATATCTCTAGCTTAAACAGATTGATTTTGATGGGGATTGATGGGGTGTGCATCAATCGACTCTTAAGGATTAAGCCAAGTCCTAGAATTTCTCTTTATGAAAAAACATTTTAAACTTGCAATTGATTTTACACACACAAACCGAACAGAGCCAACAAACACAGTGAACACCACATAATACTCCAGCCCATGATACAGTAAACCAAACACAAAAAAGAAACAGACAATGCAATAAATACTTTGGTTAAGTCCTCGTCTAAAGAGTGTACGTTTTTAGTCCACTCCAGATGAAGGCTTAATCTGAGTCTGTGCAACTATCCCATGTCTGGTAACTTTATGTGCATTGCTGTTTGACAGTTAGCATAGAGACCTTGAATTCTTGTTCCTCACTCAGCTCAAATTCTATTAGCTTGTAGCTTGTGTGTAATCCTCATTTTTGAAGCTGATAGAGGAGATGTGTATGTTGTCTAGGGGAAGCTGGAGAAGGCTGTTCCTGTATGAGCTGGCTCTGGACATCAGGGAGAAGAGTTTTGGACCCAAACACCCCAGTGTGGCCACAGCATTGGTTAACCTGTACTCTCCTGCCAACTGGTGAGAGGACCAACACTGCTAACAGTTCACTGCATACCAGTCACGGGTTCAAATACTTTAAAAATCCTTTCAAATACTTGAGCGTTTCCTTGAGTTTGCCTGGAGTGCCAGGTGTGTGCAGTTTTGAGACGTTTGTATTGGTTTATTAAGCCAGGCAAGCTCAAACAGGTACAGTTTGTAATTATTTCTCACATATTTGAAACCCAGGTCTTCTGTATACATACTAGGGAAAGATGGGAACTGATGGAACGCATACAGCTGTGTATGATTTGATTTGAATTGATTCCCCCAACTTAATTAGATTTCAAATGGTAATTCAGACTGTTTCTCTGTACAGATTCTGTCAGGACATTGGTCTGACTGTGTTATTGTGTGTCTGACAGAAGAAGCACAGTGAGGTGCTGACCCTGTATTAACAGGCTCTGAGAGTGGATGAGGACAGTCTGGGACGCTAACACCCACGGGTCAGAGAGACGCTGAAGAATCTAGCTATACTCAGGTGAGTGCTCACACACACAGACATGGATGCAAACACACACATACACACACTGAAAAAAGATGCATCACAATTGTAATTTTATTGATATAAAATAGGAAACCTACACTTATCAAACTTACTAGACCTACCAATCCTACATTATTCAATCCTATCTTACTTCTACTTCTAATTCACAGGAAGCCCATCTCTGCAGCCAACTCCAACAACCCCAGAATGGCTTCCAGTTTCTCGATCTCTTTATCAGAAAAGACTCGTAAAACTTCATCCTCATAAAACTCCCTCCTTACTTTCCTGTAGTACTCTACCTTGTTCCTAATCTCCATGGGCTTGTGGAATAGACTCTTTTTTATTGTTTCAACTGCGGAATTGCCCCTTTAATGGGTGTACTTTGCATCATGTAAAATCAGTATAGCTTTGAGCCCACACAGTGGCAGATGCACGCACACACACACGCGTGCGCGCACACACATACACACACACACACACACACACACAGTGGTGTAAAGTACATAAGTAAAAAATACTTTAAAGTACTACTTAAGTCGTTTTTTGGGATATCTGTACTTTACTATTTATATTTTTGACTACTTTTAGTCCACTACATTCCTAAACAAAATAATGTACTTTTTACTCCATACATTTTCCCTGACACCCAAATGTACTCGTTATATTTAGAAGGCTTAGCAGGACAGGAAAATTGACAAATTCACACACTTATCAAGATAACATCCCTGGCTTCTGATCTGGCGGACTCACAAAACACAAATGGTTTGTTTGTAAATTATGTGTGTGTGTGTGCCCCATACAAAAAATAAAAAAGAAGTGTTCCATCTGGTTTGCTTAATATCAGGAATGTGAAATAATTTATACTTTTACTTTTGATACTTCCGTATATTTTTGCCATTACATTTACTTTTGATACTTAAGTATATTTAAAACCAAATACTTTTAGACTTTTACTCAAGTAGTATTTTACTGGGTGACTTTCATTTTTACTTGAGTCATTTTCTATTATGACAATTGGGTACTTTATCCACCACTGCACACACACACCATCTTATTGTTAATATAATGTACATACAGTACTATGAGCTGAATGACTAGTTTTATCATCATTGTCATCAACCCCATATTTTATGAACCTTGTTTCCTCTCTTCTCTGTCCATCTTCATCTCCTCCCTCTCTTTCCCCCAGCTATGATGGGGACTTTAAGAAAGCTGCCGAGCTCTACAAGCAAGACAGGGAGATCAGAGGCAGAGCCGTCTCTGGTGTGTGGGAAGGCCCCGTCTCGACACTCGTCCAGTGGGGACACGTTTAGCCTGCGAGGGCCCGCCCCTCTCCCACACGCCCCCAGGTGATCCCTCCCTCTACCGCCCCTCTCAAGAACACAGGTGGAGGATCTCATTTTGTCTTTCCTTGATCCTGTGTTTCCATTTTCTCGTCTCTTTCTAGAAATGCATTGGAGGAGAAGGTCCGAGGGTAGGGACCTTGCATCTTCCCCTGTAATGCATTTTGAGAAGGGGGGAAAAGGAGAAAAGACATGCAGAATCAAGGAATTACAATTGAGGTTCACCCAGGGTTTGCAATCTGCATTCCTTAGAAGAATTTAAAAAAAGAAAATGTATGCACTCACTAACTGTAAGTCGCTCTGGATAAGAGCGTCTGCTAAATGACTAAAATGTAAAATGTAAGAACAACGTCCATTGCACTCTTAATAGTTTATTATGCTGCTTTGAGATGGAACAGTGTAGTGGTGTCGCCTGTCAATTGCAGTGGTGGAAAAAGTATCCAATTGTCATACTTGAGTAAAGGTCGAAATACCTTAATAGAGAATACTCAAGTAAAAAGTAAAGACCCAGTAAAAGACTACTTGAGTAATTTTTTTAGTATTTCAATTTTAAAATACTTAAGTATCAAAAGTAAATATTAAATTCCTTATATTAAGCAAACCAGACGGCACCACTTTTTTCATTTTTTATTATGGATAGCCAGGGGCATGTGTGTTTAGTGAGTCCGCCAGATCAGCGGCAGTAGGGATGACCATGGATGTTCTCTTGATAAGTGTGTGAATTGGACAATTTTCCTGTCCTGCTAAGGATTCAAAATATAACGAGTACTTTTTTATTCCATATTCACAAACGTTTCAAATTAAATTAACAGCTCTCTGTTACTATCTATGGAAGCATATAGTAGCTGTCGGAATTCAATTTGAATTGGATAATGATAACTCAATATCACCACCGACTAGTAAGTTGCTCTGGATAGGAGTGTCTGCTAAATGACAAATGTCAATGTAATTTACATTTCAAATTGAATTTCGACACTATTAGATGCATGCGCATATACTGAAATACATTCATTACGCCCTAATCTATGGATGACTGGGTATACATATATGCATCTGTTAGTCACAGATACCTTTTTTTTTTAAGTAGGGGCGTGGATCAGAAAACCAATCAGTGTCTGTTGTGACCACCATTTGCCTCATGCAGCGCAACACATCTCCTTCACATAGAGTTGATCAGGCTGTTCAATGGCTGTGCGAAGTTGCTGGATATTGTCGGGAACTGGAACACGCTGTTGTACAAGTCGATCCAGAGCATCCAAAACATGCTCAATGGGTGACATGTCTGGTGAGTATGCAGGCCATGGAAAAACTGGGACATTTTCAGCTTCCAAGAATTGTGTACAGATCCATAAGACATGAGTCCATGCATTATCAGGCGGAAATATGAGGTGATGGCGGCGGATGAATGGCACGACAATGGGCCTAAGGATCTCGTCACAGTATCTCTGTGCATTCAAATTCCCATCGATAAAATGCAATTGTGTTCGTTGTCCGTAGCTTATGCCTGCCCATACCATAACCCTACCGCCACCTTGGGGCACTCTGTTCACAACATTGACATCAGCAAACCGCTCGCCCACACGATGCCATACATGCTACGCTGTCTGCCATCTGCCCGGTACAGTTGAAACCGGGATGCATCCATGAAGAGCACACTTCTCCAGCGTACCAGTGGCCATCGAAGGTGAGCATTTGCCCACTGCAGTCGGTCACGACGCCGAACTGCAGTCAGGTCGAGACCCTGGACGACGAGCATGTAGATGAGCTTCCCTGAGACGGTCTGGGTGGCTGGTCTCAGACGATCCTGCAGGTAAAGAAGCCGGATGTGGAGGTCCTGGGCTGGTGGGGTTACACGTGGTCTGCGGTTGTGAGGAGGTTGGATGTACTGCCAAATTCTCTAAAATGACGTTGGAGGCGGCTTATGGTAGAGAAATGAACATTCAAAGCTCTGGCAACAACTCTGGTGGACATCCCTGCAGTCAGCATACCAACTGCACGCTCCCACAAAACATGAGACTTCTGTGGCATTGTGTTGTGTGACAAAACTGCACATTTTAGAATGGCCTTTTATTTTCCCAGCACAAGGTCATGCTGTTTAATCAGCTTATTGTCAGGTGGATGGATTTTCTTGGCAAAGGAGAAATGCTCACTGGGATCTTTTATTTCAGCTCATTAAACATGGGACCAACACTTTACATGTTGCCTATATATTTTGGTTCAGTATAGTTGTTCTGCTGTTTTCTGCAGTGGCGGTCATCACATGTGGGGTTGGCCTTCATGGCCATAGTGGGGAAGAAGTCCTGCATAGTGTTGTAGCCCAGGTAGTGGCTGCAGTAGCGGTTTGTGGGTAAAATCACCAAGGAAGCCAAACCAGGAAAGAATAGCCATATTACAACCTATGTGTTGTGATAATTGCATTGTTTGCTCTATAACCTGTTAGTTCTTATGCCTTGACACCGTGATATACAGTGGGGAGAAAAAGTATTTGATACACTGCCGATTTTGCAGGTTTTCCTACTTACAAAGCATGTAGAGGTCTGTAATTTTTATCATATGTACACTTCAACTGTGAGAGACGGAATCTAAAACAAAAATCCAGATAATCACATTGTATGATTTTTAAGTAATTAATTTGCATTTTATTGCATGACAAAAGTATTTGATCACCTACCAACCAGTAAGAATTCCGGCTCTCACAGACCTGTTAGTTTTTCTTTAAGAAGCCCTCCTGTTCTCCACTCATTACCTGTATTAACTGCACTTGTTTGAATTCGTTACTTGTATAAAAGACACCTGTCCACACACTCAATCAAACAGACTCCAACCTCTCCACAATTGCCAAGAACAGAGAGCTGTGTAAGGACATCAGGGATAAAATTGTAGACCTGCACAAGGCTGGGATGGGCTACAGGACAATAGGCAAGCAGCTTGGTGAGAAGGCAACAACTGTTGGCGCAATTATTAGAAAATGGAAGAAGTTCAAGATGACGGTCAATCACCCTCGGTCTGGGGCTCCCTGCAAGAACTCACCTCGTGGGGCATCAATGATCATGAGGAAGGTGAGGGATCAGTCCAGAACTACACGGCAGGACCTGGTCAATGACCTGAAGAGAGCTGGGACCACAGTCTCAAAGAAAACCATTAGTAACACACTACGCCGTCATGGATTAAAATCCTGCAGCGCACGCAAGGTCCCCCTGCTCAAGCCAGCGCATGTCCAGGCCCGTCTGAAGTTTGCCAATGACCATCTGGATGATCCAGAGGAGGAATGGGAGAAGGTCATGTGGTCTGATGAGACAAAAATAGAGCTTTTTGGTCTAAACTCCACTCGCCATGTTTGGAGGAAGAAGAAGGATGAGTACAACCCCAAGAACACCATCCCAACCGTGAAGCATGGAGGTGGAAACATCATTCTTTGGGGATGCTTTTCTGCAAAGGGGACAGGACGACTGCACCGTATTGAGGGGAGGATGGATGGGGCCATGTATCGCGAGATCTTGGCCAACAACCTCCTTCCCTCAGTAAGAGCATTGAAGATGGGTCGTGGCTGGGTCTTCCAGCATGACAACGACCCGAAACACACAGCCAGGGCAACTAAGGAGTGGCTCCGTAAGAAGCATCTCAAGGTCCTGGAGTGACCTAGCCAGTCTCCAGACCTGAACACAATAGAAAATCTTTGGAGGGAGCTGAAAGTCCGTATTGCCCAGCGACAGCCCCGAAACCTGAAGGATCTGGAGAAGGTCTTTTTGGAGGAGTGGGCCAAAATCCCTGCTGCAGTGTGTGCAAACCTGGTCAAGACCTACAAGAAAAGTATGATCTCTGTAATTGCAAACAAAGGTTTCTGTACCAAATATTAAGTTCTGCTTTTCTGATGTATCAAATACTTATGTCATGCAATAAAATGCAAATTCATTACTTAAAAATCATACAATGTGATTTTCTGGAATTTTAGATTCCGTCTCTCACAGTTGAAGTGTACCTATGATAAAAATTACAGACCTCTACATGCTTTGTGAGTAAGAAAACCTGTAAAATCGGCAGTGTATCAAATACTTGTTCTCCCCACTGTATAGGCCTAAGGCCGAGACAATAAGAAGACACAGTGGCAGAATAAATTCAACCACACCTTTGTTTCATCACAAAACCGGAGAGCAACATCTGTCCAATGAAGTCCACAAAACATATTGCATGTAACAAACAGATTAACTCTTTAGTATTATCCCAGTTTACCTACAGTGAGGGAAAAAGTATTTGATCCCCTGCTGATATTGTATGTTTGCCCACTGACAAAGTAATGATCAGTCTATAATTTTAATGGTAGGATTATTTGAACAGTGAGAGACAGAATAACAACAAAAAAATCCAACAAAAACGCATGTCAAAAATGTTATAAATTGATTTGCATTTTAATGAGGGAAATAAGTATTTGACCCCTCTGCAAAACATTGCTTAGTACTTGGTGGCAAAACCCTTATTGGCAATCACAGAGGTCAGACGTTTCTTGTAGTTGGCCACCAGGTTTGCACACATCTCAGGAGGGATGTTGTCCCACTCCTCTTTGCAGATCTTCTCCAAGTCATTAAGGTTTCGATGCTGACGTTTGGCAACTCAAACCTTCAGCTCCCTCCACAGATTTTCTACGGGATTAAGGTCTGGAGACTGGCTTGGCCACTCCAGGACCTTAATGTGCTTCTTCTTGAGCCACTCCTTTGATGCCTTGGCCGTGTGTTTTGGGTCATTGTCATGCTGGAATACCCATCCACAACCCATTTTCAATGCCCTGGCTGAGGGAAGGAGGTTCTCACCCAAGATTTGACGGTACATGGCCCCGTCCATCGTCCCTTTGATGCGGTGAAGATGTCCTGTCCCCTTAGCAGAAAAACACCCCCAAAGCATAATGTTTCCACCTCCATGTTTTATGGTGGGTCGGTGTTCTTGGGGTCATAGGCAGCATTCCTCCTCCTCCAAGTTGATGCCAAAGAGCTCAATTTTGGTCTCATCTGACCACAACACTTTCACGCAGTTCTCCTCTGAATCATTCAGATGTTCATTGGCAAACTTCAGACGGGCATGTATATGTGCTTTCTTGAGCAGGGGGACCTTGCGGGCGTGTGCTCCTAATCTCAGTTCGTTACCTGTATAAAAGACACCTGGGAGCCAGACATCTTTCTGATTGAGAGGGGGTAAAATACTTATTTCCCTCAT